GCCGTAGGATTTGCACCAAAGCTAGCTGGATTTAAACGACATGCAGACTTAGCGCCTTTAGCGTCAACGCATAACTTTTGAACTCGTCCTCCGTAACCGGAGTCCAGTCGGTTCATTCTCCAGTGCAAGGTCCCGTCACCGTCCGCTGGCCGCTGGCCGCCCGCCTGCAATGCTCGTCCCCCACCCACTGTTCCTCACTAATAATCCACTAACCGCCAGGCTTGTGCCAACGCGCCCAGCTTTTTCCAGCTATGATCCGACCATCCGCCCAGTCAACGCTCAATGTCCAGCTGCCTAAACATGTTCGATCGTAAACTAATAAAGCCACATGCTCAGTGCTGTCAGGACAAATTCCCTGTTTACCGTTGAAGCCTTGGTGATGAGTCGGTCAGTCGTCAGTCGTCGACATCACATGTCAATGCCACAAGATGCCGTGAGCCAGCGACCCCACGCACGCTCAGAAAGGCAGACGCATGGAACGACCGCCACTATTGATGCTGCGCAGTGATTCTAACTCAACAAGGAATATTCAGACAGGCAACCCAGGTCCCTGGTGGTCAGCTCTACCATCAAATCACAACTCGCGCCCAATGAACCAGCCTACTTACTATTACCTACTACATCCGAACCCTCGGACATCGATGAACCGTCAGACCGCCTCACACCATGCATGAACCCACCCGGCTGAGAGCCACCTGAGGCTTTATTAGCCTTTCGTCACCGCAGCTTGTACGCAGTAGACCTCAGGGTCCTCAATTATAACGTCTGTAGCCAAGAAACGTCCGTATATCTGCTTTCGGGCGCTTTGCTCGATATAGTAGCCTGGTTGTCCCCGTCACGTCATGTCCTCTGCAACTGAACCAATGGTCTTGTAGAAATGTTAAGCGCCTGGCATTTTGGCGTTGGAGCTAGGGATTTCGTACATGCGAAGGCACTAACAAAGGCACTTCCAGGCTGAGGCTGGCCGGGATGGGCATAGTGGGCCCATCCATCCCCTTTTACTCGTGTGAAAATGCTCGTGATGCTTCCAAGGTCTCAGCTTCTGGTCATGCGCCATCGCATGTTCCAGTCTGCAACGGCTCATCTCGCCTGCAGGGTCGATAATTCCTCCGGTCACTCCTTTGCCCTTGCTGTGGTGTAAATGACTGCACTGCGCCCTGTTGCGCGATAGACTCGATCTGGATGCTGTATGACTTGCCTAAGGACGATCGAATGATGTGCAGATCGCTGAGCCTGGGACGCTACGTACGTACCGCTCCGAACGTCACTAGTCCACCCTGGTCCCGGTGGATTCCTCTCCCAACTCGACGAGTTCGAATATTTATGTTAAATATCTTGAAGACAGTGGTCAATGAGATATGCTGTCTCGCTCCTGGCCCATTAAAAAGAATTCATCGCGGCACTTTCAGTCTATGGATATACCCCTCTGGATCATACTGCCCTCCCGGATGGTTTGGTGCTGGCCTTCTCCTGGTGGGAAGCACATATGACCTACCCTGGTGTAGTCCGGCCAAAACCCTTCCTTCCGCTGTCATTGTGCCTGTTTTGCCGTGGACATAATAACTCCATGGAACACTTGCGAATCCGCGGCTAGCGTCACATGTTGTAGGCGAAGTGAACATCATCAGTTTGTTTGACAGAATGCACACATACGACATTTGTACTTCAGCGAGAAACACAAGCATTGCACATGTCGCCGGTTGCCAGCTAGATGAAAAAAACTGGATGAGCTAATTGCGCTTCGAGCCGTAAGGCTACACGCTTGCGTCAATCATGAGCCCTGCCATAACATGCTACCAAGACAATGTATGCAGAACCGCGCAGAATAGGATGAGCCTACACCGTACACAAACGACCGCATATGCCAGGGTTGGCTTGATTCACGTAGCGCAGCATATGGTACATACTGTCACAAGGACAGGATACAGCCCAGGCAGCCCCCCCATGCACGATGTGTGCATATTGGTGGTGTTGTACTTGTCTCACGGAGAGCTATCGCATCGAGAAGTATGTTGGCTATGCACGGCATTTGATTTATTTTCCTAATCCTTCCTCTCGTCTCCGCGTCCGAGAGACTGATGCTGACCCTAGATACAGACAAGAAGAGCAAGGAAAATGCGAGTTCCTGACCGAGATGACATGAAATGAAAAGCTCCCAAGACGCCGTCAAGGCATGCATTGCAGATGAACAAAGATTCATAGATTTGAGAGATTTTGCGTCTCTCGAGTTGCCGCAATGACACCCGCAATTAGTATGAGATGGGGGGAGGCGAAAGTGCAACAGGCGCTTGTAGTGCAGGTGGCGTGTGAACGAAGGTGTTGTATGTGGCAGAACGAGTAGCTTGAGATCGACAGCAAATCCGGTGCTGCGATATAGGACAGGCCCAGGGAATCGGGGAAAAAAAGGGGACGCCTTGTTGTCCATTTCTGGGGGGCGCTTGACCCCGTAGCGCAGGGTGAAAAGGAGTCGAGTAAAGAGTGATTGGCTTGTATATATGACAAACAGAAGGCGGAGCCAGCGATGTTCATACATCATGACTGACTCGGACCGGTAGCCGGCCACTGCGTATATCGGTTTTGATCACGATTTTGGTCACCAAGATTGAGCCAGCTCATGTCTGATGACTTGGACGCCATGGACAGCTGAGGTTGCTGACTCACACCGGAGGGTGGTGAGGGTCGCTTCGCATCACTGGGCGCCAGGGCGGTGCCAAAATTGAAACCAGAGTTGTAGACGCTGCTGGGGGCTCGGTCGTGACCCCATGACTTCTCGCGAGCGTCGGAGCCGGTAGGATCCCAAGCCTCGTTCACGCTCTCGGGAATGCCACTAGAGTAGCCGCCTGACGAGGCCCGTGACGAGGGACGTTCAATCTTGACAGGAATACCCTCGCCAAATGGGAGCTTGTGCCCATGGCCAGTCACGACAGGGCTTCCCGAGTTGACACGGTTCATTGCCGTCATACCCCCAAAGTTCAGAGGCGGCACTGTCGCCGAATCCTGAGTTGTTCTGCTGGGGTTCTGACCTGAGCTTTGGGAGTACTGCGAGCTCTGGTCTGAAGCTGACGTGTTGCGCTTACCGCCAAATCCAAGGATCTGTAGAGAGCTCCCACCTGACCAGTACCGATTCCAACCAGAACTCCGCCGTGTGCCATCGGCATTTGTCGGCACCAGGTTCCGGTTTCTAGACTGAGGCTCCATTGCGTCAGGATCAGAGGTGCCATTGCGCTCATCGCCTAGTATAGGATTGCTGTCATCCTGGGGAATGGGCTTGCTGATGGTGCTTTTGAAATGTTTGTGGAGAGAGGCAACAGAGTGTCGTCCGGACTCGTTACTACCTTTCCTGGCCGACCCCTTTGGTTGGTTCATGCGACCCATTAGGATCGCCATGGATGAGTAAGAATCTGCCGAGCCCTGGGGGTTGTGTCCACGGAAGTGACCAGGTGATGGCGGAGGCTTTTGTGGGATGTCGGTGAACATGGCAGGATTCTTTTCCGGCATGATACTGCGATCTTGGTCGCCGTCGCCACCTGTAGTGCCAGCTGCCTTGTGGTGCTTGAGTTTCCTGCGGCGCAAGCAAAAGAGTGCCAGAGCAAGGATAACCAGGAAGGCGAAAATCGAGCCCAGGGTGATGCCCAAGACAACGCCAGTACCCAAGCCACCATCATCGCTGTCTTGGTCGTTCGAGCCGTCTGCAGCAGCGTCCGTGGTCGTAGCAGCCGCGGTCTCAGAGAGGGTCGAGGAAATGTCTGTCGAAGTAGATGTGGCCGTCGACATGGTTGTGGACATGAAAGAGGATTCGGTCGAGGTCGAGATCGAGGTCGAGGTTGTGGATGTGCCGGTACTGCTACTGCTCAGACTCTGCGCCTTGATCTCTTCCTCGACGAGAAGGCCAGTTGCGTTCATCCATTTGTTCTCAAGCCCGTTGAACATGCCCAGAGGCTCTTGGTCATTACCTCCGGTGAAGACAATCATGCCATCGGAGCCTTGAGCCATGCCAAAATTCTGACGAGTTGTCTCAGGCGCCAGAGTGTCATTGTAGGAAGGCCATGCGTTGTCGTCCTGGCGTGTTTCCAGACTTCGCTCGAAAAGTGTTGGCGAGTTGAGGATTGGAGTGCCGGAGCCGTCCTGCAGGACGGCACGCGTGACTTTGTTGGGCGACTCAGACATATCGAACAGGTAAAGGTTTTGCGAGCCATCGGAGCCATGGGCGAGGGCGGCCCCAACCTGAGTGGCGTCCTTGGTGAGAGGATCGGCAAGACTGGCCCCAAAGTCTCTCCACCCAGCAGTAGGATTGAACAGGAAGACCTTGGTGTTCTCCGCTCCACCGCCAACCATTAGGGCGTCCGCATCAGTCCAACTCAGGAGGTACGGGCGGACGGCATTGGGGGCGCCATTGGGATCGTGACTTGACACGCCATAGGGCTCTGATGCGTCAATGGAGAACGTCTCCAGCGTGGCAGAAGCCGAGCCATCCCTTGTTCCGGCGAACACCAAGATCTCGTCATTGGCTTTGATGTATACCGAGCTATGGTGCTGGCGATCTTTGACGACATCATCGCGCGGACTTGGCGAAGACCACTCTCCGGAGGAGAAAGTGTACTTCTGCAGACCTGTCGAGCCACCTACGCCCCCAACTACCCAAAACCCAGCAGCATCGGGATCCGGCGGCGATGCGCCAACGCATGTGGCGCCCTCTACTGATTCACCGTAGCTCAACTCCTCCCATTCGGCTCCTTCCTCCAAACGAATCGAAAGAAACGCCTCAGGCGTGTAGACGTAGAGTGTGTTGTCATGAATGACAGAGCACGAATTGTCGAGGGACGACGGCGGCTCAGGTTGACCCATCTTGGCCGCTCGTCCTCCAAGATCGGGGACGAATGATTCCAGAAACAGCTCAATTCGTTGTCGGCGTAAGGTCACGTAGATCTCCTCAGGGCAAGATGGCCCAGCTGTGTTGTTGAGCACGTAACGCAGATGATGCTCGGTGCCAGTCGCTCTTGAATTTCAGATGAGCAGCGGTCGCAGAGACACCGGTAGATAATAGTTGACACGCGAGAGGTGTAAGTGTTGGTCGTGGCCCAGCCAATTTGCAGGGTGCAGTCGACCGTGCAACTGCGACTGTCGCGCCGTGAAGTAAAGGAGTGTAAGAGAGCACGGCTCGACCGTGTCTCGCAAAGGCGTCGGGGATGATGGACGGTCTCGTGGACGAGGAACTGCGCGGACAGAAGAAAGGGCTTGAGGTGAGTTGATCGAAGCGCGATGGTGGTCTGGGTAATCTCCTGACCGGGTGCGTGTCGCAGGTTTGAGTCGGGTTGCTGGGATATGGTGCTTCAGGAGCGATAGAGAGCGTCGGAAATTCAAATGGTGCCCCTGGCAGCGCAAGGAAAGCGACAGACCCTGCTACCTAGCTAGTCAATGATGGCTTAGACAGGCTTCGATACGCGACGAATAGAATCCCTCGCTATGTCGATGTTCTCGTAACCAGACGGAGTCAAAGCGAGGTCGAGTCGTAGCCTCAGAAAACGAAGAGCAGGAGGAGTGAGACGAGTGATGGGAGAGTCTGGAGGCGGCGTAACAGGACAGGAAGGAACGAGACAGTGGCCAGTCTCAGGTTGCAGCGGCTCGATAGTGGCCTCCCCCGACTGGCATGGCCTACGAGCGCCAGAACGGAGGAACTTAGGAAGGAAGGAGGCTGGGGTCCCGTCGTCCCTGTCAACATTGCCCCTGGCTCGTGCCCAAGCACTTGCATGTGTCTGACCAATGAGACGCGTCCCACACCCTGAGCCATGTTTCTCGCGCCGTCATTCGTGTTCCTGACAAGTGTAGCTCTTGGCATTAGGGTACCTTGTACCTGAGTCGCGGTTCCGACAAGTAGTAGTCTTCTCGTAGGGTCGGCATGCTCTAACCGCCGTAGTACAGAGTGTAACTGATACGAGGTCCAGTATGCGTCACGTTCAAGACAAGAAACGAGGGCATTAATTAAATCCCATCTGTCCACTGCGCTGCACACTATCAGACTGCCCGAACAGTTGTTGTGCAAATCTCGCATCATGGCGCGACGCACGGAATATGAAATTGCAACTTCATGCCTCTGGCGTCATACTGGCCTGGTCCGTGATGATGGGGGATTGGGGGACGAAAGGACATGGAGCCAAGGGTTGCATCAGAGCTCTGGCAGCACGCTGCACCGACGCGCGCCAAGCAATCTGAGTACGCATTGTCATCTCGATTCTCGTCTCGCTGGATCAAGCAATCGGGCCAGAATTCCTTATAACTTTTAAAGAAGCCTCTTCAGCTACTCTCATTATCAGCAGTGCTCTTGGAACTCGAGCAGCACAGGGCGCTTCTTCCTCAAGTCTCTCTACCAATATAAACCAACGCATGCACTTCGCTGCGCCATGGTGCATTCGAGCCAAGACCCCCGTCTCTCCTGAAACGCGCCACCACACCTCTTGCATGCCCCCATTTAAACGACATGGACCTTGGCTCTATTAATCAACTTGAAGGTCGGTGAATCCCACTTTCTGTTCTTCGCCTCCGAGCTGATGAAAATCTGCATCCTGTTATATCAGATTGTTGCCGCTCATCATGTGTAATATGCTAGTCTTGTATCCGCACATTCGCTTCACTCATGGGCCGGGGCTACTTTATTCGAAGTGTAGGCGGCAGGGGGCGCAGAAAGCCACCCCTAGGTATCTTGAACAGCATTACCCGAAAACCCGTATTTTCTTAGCAGCGTTAGTTATAATAGAATACCACAGTCTGTTACTTGTAATCCGATTTATTCATCACTTATTCATATTTGCGCACAATGTGTGAGCATGGCTATGATTCCAATCCCGTCTTGTCCATAGAAGGCGACCGACACCGCTTGAAAGCCGCACGCGACAGCAGCAGTAGGCCCATGTTATTATCAGCCAGTTCTCCAGTATTGTCAGTCAGCTTAGGATGCCCGTCTACTCCGTACCTCTTCCGGTGTCTGCAGACTAAGTAGTACGTGATTTTCCCCCGTGCCGGAGTAGCACTGTCGAATGATCACGAGAAACTATAGGCGCACATGAAGCTCGCGAGGAGATAGTTTGTAGTAAACCTTCAAAAATCGCTGTTGTCGTCTGATGCCATAGTGAAGACTGAGTGTACACCTATCCGGATAGTCCGTGATCCCAAAATATCATACCCAATGCCAATCAACTCCGTATACAGTTGGACCGATTAAATCTGCATTCTGGTCCGCTGATCACGCCCACTCTAGCCACCCACGCCCGATCACTGCGGGTTCGTCGCAAAAGCCTCCGGTGGCAGTGCACTCTGATTGATGTCAGTCGCTATCACTAAGTAAATGGATCATGTATACGCACCTTCTTCTCGTTAAAGATAGCAAGAGCTTGGCCGAAATCCCAATTGACCTGAGTCAAGCACATCTCCGCGTATTCTGCAGTCATGCCGGTTTGTCTGGCGAGCTCCGCTAACATAGCTTGTCTCTGTGTTGCATCGACGCCAGAGGGGACAGGAGTGGCCTGTTGTTGAGGTGCTGTGGCTGGAGGTGCCTCCATCGCCTTGTGGACGTTTGGCAAAGCACTCGACGCACGCAATGACAGCATATCGCTCGCCACGCGGATGGCGGCTTGTCCGGGCTGGCCAGGACCAAGAATGAATGTCCGCGAAAAGCTGCGCATGCCCATAGTGCTGGTCTTCTTGTCCGATTCCTCGAACTCGCCATGGACCGTGATCATCAGTCCATCCACACCACTGGGATTTGCACCACTGGGATCTTCCAGGCCCTGTATCGGTTTGCAGTCCATAATGTACTTGTCAATATGGTCTTTGATGCTCGGATGCCTAGTAAAAGGTAGAGCATTCCAGCATTCCGCAATCGACTTGGTGCCAATTTTGAGACGTTGCTTTCGCGCATTGAAGTTGCTAATCTTGATGAGGTTTCGTGAATCTGGTAGATACGGGGTCCAGCGAGGCGGCGGTGGTGCGTCTGGATCCCTGACAGAGGTTGTGTCGACCGCAAGGGAAAATTTACTTCTATCGTCGTAAAGATCCTGCAGCAGTTTGGGTCGGTCGGTGTCGAAAGCCGTGAAGAACTCGAGGAGGAAGGTCTCTGCGATACCATTGACGTCGCGGAAGTCAGGGCCGTGCTGTGGTATAGGGCGAGGTTGCGTAGCTGCGATCTGGGCCGCAATTTGCTCGGGTGTCCGCAAGATGTTGCCATTGATGCTCTGTAGCTTGGGGAACCACTCGAGGAGTGTGGCTGGATAATTCGGATCGTTGGCCTCGATAGGGTTGCCAGTCATGTAGAGAGCTTCGAGCTCTTTGAATTTGCCCTTCCACTGCTCCACAGCCTGCATATTGGCGATTTGGTTCCCGCTCATGTCCAGGTTTTTCAGCTGTGGAAATGTCAAGGCGACTGACTCAACCTGACTGACATTGTCGATGTTGTTGTTCGCGAGGCTGATACTTTCAATGGCCTCTTGCTTCGCTTTGGCCGTTTTGAACAGACCATCGCAAATTGCCATGAGTCCCTTGAAGGTCTTCAGAGCTCGCTCCCGATTGTCGAACATCCCGAGCGTGACGAGGCTGGTGTCGCTGGCCAGTGCGTCGAGCTTTAACAGCTTAACTTCGCTGGTGTATCGTTGACTGAGGATCTCCTGAAGTTTGGCCCGCAACTCCTGAGTTTCCTTTGACTCTGTTGCACTGCCGTGGTGACCCAGTCCATCCTCCGTTTCAACAATTTCCAGTTTACTACCGGCGAAACTGAAGGTATTCAATTTCAGAATCTCTTCTGCATCGATCTTGCTGACACCCACAAAGACGTAATCGCCCACAGGATGAGACTGTTCCATGTTAGCTAGATCGCAAGAAACTAGATGTTAGTCCGAGATAGTCGAGGCTAGACCCTCTGGCAGGCCAGCTGGTAATCGCTTCGTCACAGAATTGACCGTCTCGTTCTTGGCGCTTTGCGCGCGTCGTGAGTAGTGACATTTGCTCTGCGTTGATCGCGCCTTGTCTTCCAGGGACAGTGTTCGTCAACATACCTTTCTGATGATTACGTTGCGAGATTTGGATCGAACTCGTTCGGTAGACTTGCGCTCGAGGAAAGAAAGAAGTTGAGAGAGGCCGCCGTCTTTCGAGCTCGAGGCCTTGGATGCTTTGAGACCATGAACCCGCAGGTACACCACGGGGGCGGCGTTTGCCTTGGACCTGGCTTGTTTTGCTGCCTCGGGGTTTTTGACACGGGAGCTAATGCGATCGGCATCGCCGCTCGTCAGGTGCTTCAGTATCGTTTGGGCTGTTTTCGATGCACCGCGACCATTTTTGCCATCGCCCCTGCTGCGAGCATTGCCGTCACCGCCATGTTGTGTACGAGTGGCCCCAGCGCCCATGTCTAGGTCGCCGTCATTGTCGACGCGCCCTTGCCCACGCCGCTTCGAGATGCCGCCTCTCGAACTCGATTTCGAGTTCAGGGTCGTACTTCTCGTTTCGCGTCCGGCTGAGGCCGTCTTGCCCTTTGCGCCACGTGGTGCCATGGTCGCTCGTCGGCGTAAAAGACCTTTGAAGGCAAGCGCTTCGCTTCTTGCTCGGTCGCTCGTGGAACGTGGGGAGAAGCCGTACAATGAGTCGCGTAAGAGAGAAACTCAGAGCTGTACCGAGAAGACCCGCTGAAAGCGGCGGTCCAGGATGGGTTGCACCTTTCGTCCGAGACAGAGTCTGGGTTGCGGCGTTGGGCGTTGTCGATTGGTACTTGCCGGGGCCAGAAGACCGGGACTTTTTGTCGTTGTACGTAGAGAATGGCAGGTCAAAGTTCGACCGATTCCAGGTCCCTTTGAAGGATATCTGGGGGGAGAGAGGTGCGTTGGGGGTAAAAGTTGTAGTTGAAAATCGGCCTGGTGGTTTGCGTTTGGGAATGGCGTTGAACTTTGATTTCTGGGCAGTGAAGCAAGGTAAGGTACGTACCTTCACGATGCAAAAGGATGCTGGCTGCCTGATGAGTCATCCTTGGCTTCAACGGGCTCCCCACTTATTATGACGACGCAGCCTGAGCCTGGCCGCCTTTCTCAGACAGTCACTCAGTCAGACACCTGTGCCTCAGATTAGAAGCAGAATCAAAGAGCCTCCAACAAAGCCCTCTTGACAAATTCAAAAAATGATAAATGCGCCGCCGTCCCCGAGTGCCAATTTACTTCCGCAGAAGATTAGGCATTAGCAACTGCAATTGCCTGCCTGCACGCAAAAGATGGCCAAAACTTCCAGACAATCCAGATCACGTGGGATCGCGTTTTGGCTCCGCCCGAGCGTTGGGGGCAGCTGCGTCGGCAGTCGCGACTGGGGACACTTTACGCGTTGCTTCAACCGCACGCTCAGTTCCAAGACGTCTTCTGACCACGCTTTCGCACACGACTACTTATGACTTGATGACTTTCAAAAAACTCCTGATATGACTACAGCATCATGCATGCAACATTGGCTTGACCGCTGTTTCGAATAAGCACGTACTATTGCCATCATGGATAGTGATGAGTTCGATGATGGCCTAGCGGACGAGGATCTTGTTGCTGCGCTTGAACGCTCATCGCAACCCCGTATAGCGCTATCATCTGGCACAGAAGTCAACGATCTGACAAAAGTCGCCCACCGGCGACCCCAGAAAGAGAACCGCGACTATTTTCATGACCTTCCATCGGACGCCTTCTTCTCGCCAGAGTCTTCACCACGCGTGCATGAGGTCCAAGTGCAGCAAGAGAAGGCATCGACAACTTTTCGAAATGGACTCTCGAGGAGCAGTTCAGGCAATTTCCGCCAGACAACCTTGTTCGGTTCAGAAGCTAGCTCTGAGGCCCTCCGTGCTACGCCATCCCAACCAGCAAACAGGGCATTTAGAGCCGATCTCCCTCGCGAGGAACCCACCCATCATGCAATCAACAGAGAGGCCATGAGGACCTGGGTGTATCCGACCAACCTCGGGGCCATTCGCGACTACCAGTTCAGCATTGTTAAGAATAGCCTGTTCAACAACACACTAGTCGCTTTGCCGACAGGATTAGGCAAGACTTTTATTGCAGCAACGGTCATGCTCAACTACTACCGTTGGACCAAGGACGCCAAAATCGTCTTCGTGGCGCCGACAAAGCCTCTTGTTGCCCAGCAAGTTGACGCCTGCTACAACATCGCAGGAATTCCTCGATCTGAGACGACTTTACTCACCGGTGATATCCCACCAGTCTTACGAGTTGATGAATGGAAAGAAAAACGGGTATTCTTCATGACGCCGCAGACACTGCTGAACGATATTTCACATGGATATGCAGACCCGAAAAGCATCGTCCTCCTGGTCATTGACGAAGCGCATCGTGCGACAGGAGAGTACGCATACGCCAAGGTCACCAAAAAGATCCGATGCTTCTCCAAAAGCATGCGTGTTCTAGCTCTGACTGCCACACCTGGATCCAAAGTCGAAACAGTGCAAGAGGTGATTGACAACCTGGGAATATCACACTGCGAAATCCGCACCGAGAACTCCATCGACATTCGGCAGTATGTTCATTCGCGCAACATTGAGCAAGTTGTCCTCGATCCCTCTTACGAAATGACCCACGTGTCCGAGCTCTTTGTGAAAGCGTTGAAGCCTCTGACCGAAAAGCTCACCGCCCAAAACATCTGGTACGGGCGAAATCCAATGGCGCTCACTTCCTTCGGTCTTATGCAGGCGCAGAAAGAATGGTTCGCGGCACGAGGCAGATCCGCAAACCAGGGAGTTCAGTTCATGATGCGGGCTGTCTTTAGTGTCCTGACTGGAATCGCGCATTCGATCAAATTGTTCAACTTTCATGGTATCAGGCCCTTCTACGACAACCTCAAGGACATGCGGAGCGAGCAAGAGGACAGAGGGGAGAAAGGCTCAAAATACAAGCGCCAGCTCGTAGAGGATAAGAACTTCCAAGAGATGATGAGCACCATTGAGAAATGGCTGCGCACCGATGGCTTTGTCAGTCATCCCAAGCTCACTGCACTGTCCGAGCATGTTCTCAACCACTTCATGGACAATGGCGAGACCACACGTGTCATTGTGTTCAGCGAGTATCGCGACTCTGCGGAAGATGTGGTCCGGACATTGAACAAGCACAGACCTTTGATACGCGCGAGAGTATTCGTCGGCCAAGCAGACGGGAAAAGGGGAGAGGGTATGAAGCAGGCAGAGCAGATCAACGCCATCAAGAAGTTCAAAGACGGCGAGTTCAATGTTCTGGTTGCAACATCCATTGGCGAGGAAGGTTTGGATATCGGCCAAGTGGATTTGATTGTCTGCTACGATTCGTCGGCCTCGCCAATCCGCATGCTGCAGAGGATGGGCCGTACAGGCCGTAAACGCGCAGGCAACATTGTTCTCTTACTGATGAGAGGGAAAGAGGAGGAGCAGTTTGCCAAGTCAAAGGACAATTACGAAAAGATGCAGACTCTCATCTGCGAGGGCAGTCGGTTCAATTTTCGATTCGACTTGTCGACAAGATTTGTCCCCAGAGACATTCGACCAGAGGTCGACAAACGACACGTTGACATTCCTGTTGAGAATACGCAAGATCCCTCACTCCCTGAACCAAAGAAGCGCAAGGTTCCCTTGGGCAAGAAAAAGCCCCCCAAGAAATTTCACATGCCGGATGGAGTCGAGACCGGCTTCAAGAAGCTATCCGACTTTGTACGACCTAACGGGTCGACGGTAAAGAAGACGGCGAAGAAAGCAAACCTGGAGTTAGAGGACCTTGCGAGCAATCCAGACTTGTCTCGAGTGGTGCTCACGGACGCTCAGCTCAAAGAGCTGAACCGTACCTACAGAGATCTACCTTTCCACCAAGACGCGGTCGAGGAAGCGTCATTGCCGAGCATGACGAGCCATCCGCAATTGCAGCGAGAACTAAGACCAACTTGCAGGCTGGGGCATGGTCATCTAACGAAGGCATGTGTTAGTCTACTCCAGAAGATGGCCGAGCCAGGGAACCTTGCAAGGTGGCGGGACGGGCACGACACGAGCAACTTTAGGGAACTCCCCGTCAAAGACTTTGTCGATTCGAGCGACGAGGATCTCCCCGAGATTGTGTCAGCCACATCTGTGCGTCGAGCCGCTGGTGCTACACGGGCTCCAAAGCGGACAGCTTCCGACGCCTCTGGCCTCCGGGCAAAGAGGAGGAAGACGCCGGCCAATGCAGGAAAGAAAAGTCCACCGGCCGTCTTGGATTCGGGGTCTCGCGCTAAAGACAAGGATGAGGACAGTGAGAACGAAGGATTGACACGACGAATTCGGAAATCCAAAGCAAAGGGCAAGAAGAAGAAGGCTGTGTCAAACCGCGCCGGGATCAACAGTGATGAAATTGGCGACGATTGCGAGCGAGAGAGTGATATGATGGACACGGATGGTTCTGACAAGGGTGAGGACCTCGAAGACTTCGTCGTGTCTGATAACGAGGTGCCTTCAAGTCATCCTGAACCAGAGTCACCGTTGTTGGCAACTAAGAAACGTGGTCGAGCAAAGGAAGTCAGGAGTCCGGACACTGACGTGTCAGACTTGAAAGAATTGGTGAGCCCCGTGGCAAGAGATGCGGCGGCAGCGAAGCGCAATGGGCGGTCGCGGCGGGTGATTGACAGTGATGAAGATGATTGATACACGTTTGCTATTGCTATCTAAACTACGAACGATTTGCCGCATGTCGGAAAGATGTCCTATGATGCCAAGTCAGTTCTCATTCTCGTTACAATCTGAAGCAAGAGCAAATGCGAGAAAAGACTTCGATTTCAGAAACCCATTTTATAAGCACCACGAACCCTCACCACCACCAACATGCTCCCCCTTCCTCCTTTCACAAAGCCCAGATAGTCGCTGCTGCATATGACGATACAGACGACCACAGATAGCGTGAGGATTGGACGGACAAGAGGGAGCTAAATGCTGGGGCAGCCAAGGAGCTGGGCGCCAGCTTGAAGGACCAACACGGCAGCTCGAGGGACGTCTAAGACGGCTCTTCCTGTAGATGTTTTGAGGGTCGATGAACTCATCATTCGAGATGTCCAATTGGACAGTTGACTGAAAACCGGAAGAAGTGAGCTTACCTGTGTCGCGAGAGCAGCAAGAACGGGGAGAGTCAAACAGTGCATTGCTGGAGTGTCCCCTGTCTGCGCAGAACATAACTGCCACTCAGCTCAGCAGCCACATGCTTGAAGCTACGTGGTGAGGTTGAAGGTCGGGCAGTCGATGTGGGAAAAACCGAACGCTAGAAATTATGTAGGTGGATATTTGGGCGTGTCCGTGCTATCGATAGAGCTTGATCCGGCCGAGGTTTTGGCGGCCGGAGGAGGACTGATGCACCCCACATCACATCCGGCTGGCAGCCAATCATTGGCATCCAGCCTAACCGCCGTGACGTCTGGAGAGGAAGCAGCCTCCAACGGCAACCGTGAAGCTCCCTCCGCTGCTCCTCGTCCACCACACATCATCGACACGTTCTGGTCATTCAACCCCACGGGCGAAAGTCATCCACCATGTCTTCCTCAGCCGTCTCAGCTGGCAAGTTTGTCGGGACAGTGTCCCTGGGCCTGCTGACGGTATGTCTCCCCTCGCCCTGGCGTCCGCCTGACCGACAGCTCTCCCCGCATCGATGATGATGACGAGGGTAGACCCTTGCGATGCCTTCATCTGGGAACATGGTCGCTAACTCCAGACACAGGGCGTCTCGTACTCCGTCTCGACCCTCGTCCTGCCGACGATTATGAACCTCCCCTCGGCGGCGTCCGCTTCGCATGCCCTGACGACATTCACATCCTACGCCCGCCTGCCCGTGCTCGCCTTGTCAGCCCTCTCCAGCTTGCCTCTCCTGCTCTCCTTCGCCCTGAGCCCTCGCTCCTCGCGCCACCCCTACCTCCTCTACACATCGCTCATCGCCGCTCTCTCCGTCGGCGCACCCGCTCTCGTCCCCGTCCCCACCCGTTCCACGCCCGTCGCGAAGAAGCCCAAGAGCACCCCCCGCGCCATGGAGCAGAGCTACGAGGTCCTCGGCGATGCGGCCAGCGAAGCGCCCAGCGAGGAGGAGATTGACGACTTTGCGATCAACGGCGAGGAGGTCAGGGCCGAGGCCGCGGGCACGGCGCGAGGTTTCATGGTACGAACAGGCGTTGCGGCGCTGGGCTTTGCCATGGCCGTCGTGGGCATTTGGGGTGACGGTGCGCCATAGGCTGTGGTCCTCGTGTCGTAAGAGTGAAGTTTTTTTTGACGTTGTTTGGTGCACTCCTTGTCACTGGTGGTGGCAAGCCTCCGCACGGCGACCAACACGGTGATTGATACCGGTATTCTCTTGTTGATTCTACAAACAATGCAGTTGCGTGCTTTATATGCCATTTGGTCGAATTGATGGATGGAATTTGCAAGATCCGCCTGTAAAGTATCACTGTAACAGTAAACGTCGATCGTCATTCTGCTTGAAATCTGTTCATGAAGGAAACGGCCGTAAATTCTTCATCAACGTGGCGTGCAAACTCACACCCCTATGGACCAAGGAAACCCCAACACAAGAACAAGGCTCATTCATGCCAGAACTTGCATACCGTGCAACGATCGAGACCCTTCAACTCGCCGTTCTTCCTGCCAAAAGCAGCCCAGCCCGCAGGCATGTGACTAGTGACCATCTTGGATGCCAGATCCTTGGTATCATCTTCCCTCTCCTCTCCCTGCTCTTCCTCCTGCTCCTCGTCTCTTTTACGCGAGTTGACGCCGAACCAGCGGCCTTTCCCACTGTCCTTCTCCTGCTCGCCCAGCCGGCGCGCCACGTCGTTCGCCTCGTTCAAGCTCACGAGACGGCGATGAGCAGGTTGGCGCTCCATCGCTGTGGAGCAGAGATCCCAGATAGCTTGGAGGTTGTCGCTCCCGTCGCGAAAGTTGTTCTTCTCGTACGGCTCGTCCGGCTTGCACAGGCCAAGCTCGTGGCGGATGGTGTTGAGGACCGCCACGGTGTAGTCGCCGCGTAGGCCGAGGTTCTCGACATCGACCCGGTCGGCGGGCGTCTTGCGAGCCTCTGCGAGTGCCTTCTTCAGCTTAAACGTGTTCGGCGACTCGCTGACCACCTGATGACCGTAATTGTTGGTGTTGGTGGTAAAGGCAAACCCACCCGGTCGCCTCAGTGGCTTGGCCTTGAGGTTGTCCTCGGCAATCTCCGCCGGCGTGCGGCCGACGGCGTTCTCTCGTTGCAGGAGGGCCGGGTTGAAGTCAACCAGGGCCTTGATCAAGGCAAAGTCCTTGGCCATGACGACGGCGTGGAGCGCCGTATCGCCTTTTGCGTCGAGAGCGTCGACACCTTGACCGCGCGCGTACTCCAGGATGAGACGCAACATCTCGACCTTGTCATCGCGCGCGGCACCGGTCATGGCGGCGACCCATGCCTGAAGCGGGTTCTGTCCGCCCACAGCCAGGTTGTTGCGCTGTGTGCACAGGTCGGCGGCCAGCTCCAAGTCGAGCTCGGACATGACGGTGCGCAACCTGTGCGGGGAGGGCTTCAGGGCAAGCACGGCATGCATCAGGTTCGCCCCGGACGAGTTGCGGGTACTCTGATCGGCGTTGCCAGCGATCAGCAGGCGCGCGAAGGCGCGGCGCCCGAGGCGGCAGGCCACCATCAAGGGCGTGTCGCCGTTGGGCGTCTTCTTGTCAATGGCGGTCGGGCACGTCTGGATCAGGTAGTCGAGCAGCTCGTTGCTACGTTCGCCAATGTCCGCTCGGACGGCGCAGTGAATCACGAGCTCGTTGTCGGCCCCAAGCCAGGTGGCGATGGCTCTGTCAAAGCCGCCGGGACGGTCCCGCAGGACCTTGAGGCGGATGTCCTCCTTGGCAGCCTTGGACTTGCCAAACTCGCTGTACAGCCGGTGCGGCGCATCGCTCAGGAAGAACTCAGTGCTCTCGATGCTGCCAGCGAGCGCGGCGTGCAAGAGAGGGGGCGTCCTGATACCGGTAACCCTGGTCACCATGTTCCTCCCTGCATTCGCCCAGTCCTTGCGCTTCTTGCCGTACACCGTGAGGCCCTGGTAGAACCGGGGTTTCTTCGTGGTGGTCGCGCCGCTCTTCTTCACGAGATGATCCAGCGGGATGCCGGCGCCGGTCTGCTTGATGAGGATGCCAAGCATATCGGTCTTGCCCGATTTCACTGCGTGAAGCAATTCGTCGTGGTCCACCGTGAATCGCTTCTGGTCTCCCTCTCCTTCTTCTTCCGTGAAGTCTTGCGCTTTGTCGTTTCGCGCCCAGTACTGGCCCAGCCCAATCAGGTACTTGAGGCCCTTTGCATCTTCCACGTCTACGCAATGGGCGAAAAGCGTCTTGGTGCCCGCGTCTTCGAGCTCTGCGCCCTTTTTGAAACAGCGCCTGCGGTATCTCAGGGTCTCGAGGGGCGTCACATGCGACTCGACGCTCATGGAGACTTGCCCAATGTTGTCAATGGTGTACTTCTGCTCCGCCTTCTCAGCAACAAGCTGTGGTTGATCATCCGAGTCCTCCGAGCCAGCATCGTCGCCGCTGTACTCGGCCTCGCTGTCGTCATCCTCCGTCTTCATCTTGTAGCGCAGCTTGTTTTCTTGATGGGGCGACCACTGCGCTTGGATGATTTCGAGGATGGCGCTGGCCACGTCGTAATGTCCGCATAGGAATGCGATGGAGAAGGGTGTCTGGTTCATAGTATCATCAACGGCCATCTTGAGCGGTGGCTCGTCTTGGTTGGGACCCCAAGCCTGCAAAGTGAGTGCCTTGATCTTGTCGAGGTCGCCATCCCACGCTGCGTCGAAGCTATAGTGCGTTAGAAGAAACATCCCTTGATTCAGCATGCATGGCGGACTCACAGTTCGATATAGGCATCTCGACGCGCATCGGTCATGTCTGACACACCTTGGAACTGGAAACGGACCTCAAACGGCTTTTTGTTCTGTTCACTGTCCGGAACCGTGTGATAGACATGGTGGGACAGAATGCCATAGGTCCGGGTACGGTGGTTGCTCGTCTCCTTGGCAATGTCCGGGTGCAGCTCCTTGAATGTCTTTGCTCCCTTGGCGATGAGTGCGTCGCGGAGCTTGGCGAACTCCTGAGTCAACTCCATCAGGGCATCAAACTTGACTTGCTCTGCCGTTTCACCCTCGCCCTCCTCTCTCTTCTTGACCTCGTTCACGTACGATGTCATGGAGGCTTCAAACTTCTTCTGCGCATCCGCGACGGCCCTGCCCGCCACCCACCGGGCGTAGGAACCTCCCTGAAAGTTCTGCATATATTCGTCGAGCCCAGGCCGCTTTTGGGGCTTCTCCAGAGTCTTCCGATCTTCTGAGGTTCCCTTCTCAAGTTGCTTGATGATCTCGTTGACGTCGTCCAGGACGGAGGTACCCGTATTCCACGATCGCCGGTGGGTGTCTATCAAGAGCAACTCGGACTCTCCGGTGAGGGTGTTTGGATCCGCGCCGTTCTCCAAGAGAGCCAGGGCCATCTCAAAGTGGCCGTGACTGATCGCAAGAGCCAAAGGTTGCACCATCTGGCGCCACTGTCTCTTGTTCCTGTCCAAGTCTCCCAACCGGCTGGATTGAGTCGGCGACACCTTGGCAGACTTGAGCCAGGTCTCGTAATCAAATTGCACCGAAGCGCCGGCGGCCAACAGCTTCAGGACAAGTAACGGGTTGCCCGTTTCGATCGCGGTGTGGAGAGGCGCTGCTGCTTGAGGGGACCAGTTCCAGCCTCCGAACGCAAGGTGATTGATAGCGCTCTTGACGCCCGCCTTGTCATGCTCCAGCAGCGTGTCGACCATTTCCAACTTGTCCGATTCGACATATCTCTGGAAGGCCGTGACACCGTTGGTCTCCGCCTGTGAGCTGATGGCGCCCAGACTGAGGAGTAGACGTGCCATTGACTTCGCCTTGCTCGATGGGAGTGAGAGAGCGAGAACCAAGGTCAGGATCGCCGCCGCACTTCCAGAGTCGTTGTCGGAGAACTTGACAGGCAGGATAGAGTCGGCGCCGTAGTCGCAGAGCTGCTTGACAGCATCTTCGTGCCCGCCTACAATCGCGAGATGTAGGGGGGAAGATGGGACATCCCATGCGAGGATGTCAATCTGGTAGTAGTCGGGGTCGTCATCAGATTCATCGGGCACAATGTCGACCCGGTTATCCTCATTGTTGCTGGTGTCCTTGATCTTGATGAAGGAGCCGGTGGTGGCCGAATGCGCGTCTGTCTCCGTCTGCGCATAGTCGGTCATCTCGTCATCCGATTTGTCTTCAGCTTCATCCTCGTCGTCGGAGCGCATCTGTGAGTCTTCGCCATCCGGTGGATTCGCGGCAGGTTTGGCAGCTTTGGAGGCCGCCCGGCGTCGATCCTTGCGCTCTTCCTCCATCTCCTCATTCTCAATGCTCTTGTCCATCAGCAGTTTGATCATCTCCGTGTCGCCGCGTGAGGCCGCCAGATGGAGCGCAGTCCTGCCATCTGCCAGCCGGGACGTGATGCGCGCGCGGTGATCAATGAGAGCTTTGACAACATCGGGAGTCGAGGCCATGACGGCCAAGTGAAGAGGCGTGCGGCCAGTGTAGTCGCGGGTGTTGGCATCCGCGTCCGGCTGGGCCAGCCAGTTTAGTACATCGTCAAGGTCGCCATTGACAATGGACTGGCACAGCCTTGCTGTGTTCCCAACATACGCCATGTCTGTCCAATCCTGCTCGGTCAGGGGGTTGAAGGATCCAATCTGCTGACGGCCAGGGTCATCGATAAGGAAGGACACCTTGCCCGAGATGTAGATTTCGGCCTCCTTCTCGGCGACCTCAATCTCCTCCTCGGTCTTGGGCACCGGACAGGTGCCGCAGCAGTCCTCGATGACATCCTGGACGCGCCCAAAGAACGCTGGGTGCCGATGCAAGTACACTTCTCGCTCCTTGGGCTGATTCCACTCCGCGTTAAGCAACAGATCTCGCGTGTAGCAAAGCTTCTCGATGCGCTTGGCGTTGAACTTTTCGCCATACGGCACGGTGAAGGTGTGGTAGTTGGAGACTTCCTCTTCCGAAAGCCAGTCAGCCACCTCGTCTTCGTAGAAGTCCTTGATATTGCCTCCGAGGTGGAACTTCTGCCGGTATGCACTAGGACGGCCACGCTCTTGTCGCCTTCTGTTGAGATATGCCTCGCGAGCCGAGCTGGTAGGCAGACGCTCGAGGATCAACAGTCGCGCCAGGCCCAGTGTTCGTGCAAAGCTTCTCTCGAAGATGGTGGGATCGATGCGGGAGCGATCGAGATCGGCCCAGTACACCTCGAAACCCCTGTGAGAGTACTTGGAGAGTCGATTCTCATACGAAGGACTGCGTCGGCTGAGGTCAATGTGGTTGGTCTGCGTGATGAAACTAGCCAGAGCACGGGGCGTCACCCAGACCTGCTGGCCATCGAAAGCACCGCCCGCTGCGTCAATGTCAAAGCCCGTGAGGATTTCGCTGATTGACTTGTAGACTCGGAGCACAATCTGCACGTGCCTGACAGGATATTGGCTTGCAATAGTGATGGCGTACTTGGTGCGGACGACAGTGACCTCGTTCAGAAGGGCGTCACGAATAGACTGCTCAATTTGCTTGATCTTCTCAATGGCTTGCTCGTGGTTCAACCCGTACAGGAACAGGTCGACGTCAGAGGCTGGACAGAACTTCTCGTGGTAGTACTCGCGAAGCTTGCGCTTCGTGGTAGTGTACTCCTTGGGAACTGGCAAGAGAGTGTTGATCACGGATGATCCAGCCGCGACGACATTGCTCCAGTCCATGTCCACCAGGGACGACTCGGAGAAGATGTTGAAGTTGTTCTGGAACTCGGCGAGATTCCGCACTGTCGCTGGAGAGCCATCTGGACGCCTCTCGTCTTGGGACAGGGGCATGATGTACTTGGACTTCTCCTCCTCGGACTCCGCCTCGAGGTTCCTGGCGCGTACCTTGATGTGCTCGGTGTTCTCGTTGAAGAGAGGAAGCACGTTGATGTAAGGGTCTTCCAGGACGGGGTTGCTGCGATCCTGGGCGAAGACGGCCCTCAGCTGGTTCTCATACTGCCGGTAGGGTTGGATGAGGTCGTTGACATTGCGGCTGCGGTTGGCGGCAATGTACTGGGCTAGATCCTCATGGTGCGCGGGCAGCGCAGGGAGGTCAGGCATAGCCATGTCCGATGCCATGATGAACTTTGAAGAGGCTGACGAAGGGGAAAGCAGAAGAGACGACGCGGTGAAGGTCACTGATGCAGGACAAGAAGCACAATCGGTGATTTAAGAGACGAGTGGAAAGGAGGACAGGATGAGGAGGCAGTGTTCGAGACTACTGCTGAGGGAAGGACTGTCGTTATATACACGAGTGGGATCTCCGTCTGGTACAAACAGGCAGATTATCTGTCGGTCTGCTTGGCTGAACCTGGGCAGTTACTCGGTCAAGCTGTCTGTACCCGCAGCGCCGTCCCAGCTCCAGGCACAGGCGGGGTTCTTGTCGCCAGGGGATGGGCAGCTGAAGCCGTGGAGGAGCATGGCGTGAATTAGCTCGCGCTCGAGTGGTGCGTCGGATGCACAAGTGGATTGGCACGTCTTAGCTTGGAGCCGCAGTTGTCAGCTCAGGGTCCAGTCCATTTGCTCTGGTGCAGTGAATCGGGATTTTTTGGAAGGGCGTCCTGGACCTTGGGAGTGGAGGGTGGAGTCTGCTGCCTGTCTGCTGCCTGGGGTCCATCGCCCACGCGAGATCCCGTGACTTCAATCACTGGAACCCCCCGCGCCTCTTCAGCGCAAGGCTAGGCAGCAAACCCTCAATCACGCTCACTCTCGGTCGATTCATCAAATTAGTTCTATCATTCTCTTCTTATGCTCCATCGATGTAACCCAAACTGCCTAAAATCCCCCTCTCAGACAACCGAATCGGTCTTTGGCTCCTTCTCAGCACCCGCAAAAACGAACATGACTGTCACCAACAACTTGCCAGCGCCAGAAACGGCTATCGCCGTTGCTGATCCGACCTCGCGGTAGATAAACGCCCCTGCGAATGCTCCCAGGATCAACGATGCCAGGAAAGCCACCCGACGTGTCCTAGGTCGGTTGTCAAACGCCAGCAGCTTCTTGTCTATCAACAGGTCAACCCACGCTGCCGTGGCCATGGCAGTACTGATCTCCGTCATGGCCAGGCTGCGCGACTGCACGACCTGACTGCCGGATGCAAAGGCCAGCAGCCCAATGACCGAAAGTGCCTTTGGACCCTGGACAGCTATCCCGTGCCGATATTGTATCGCGGCGGCGCCCAGCACCAGACCACTCTGCACAAAGTTGCAGAGAACCAGCCACCACCTCTTCCGCGGGCCGATGGCATGGCCCAGCTGACCAGTCAACCACCCGCCGCCTAGGAAGAGGCCCAGGGCTATGCCAATGTTGGACGTCACAAACATTTCACCGTTGAGATGAGGGAGCACCAGCGCCACGCAAAGGAAGATTGTGTTGCCAGTCTGGTTCGATGCGAAGCAGTGGTAATCTGGAAATGTCGTTGCATCTAAGCCAGTCAGTACATGTCCGCCTGGTCTCTGGGATTGCATGCATACCTTGGATACCCGTGCAAAATGTCAGCAGTAAGAGCTGGATTTCGCAAAACATGGTGCTTCGAATGTTCTCTTTGAGGTGATGCCCAACGTGTTCTATTGTTGTTTTCGCTGTGGTTGACCCAGTACGGGCAGCCGCTGGTGCGGCCTTGGGCTCGGGTTCAGGCGTGGTGGTCATCTGAACTACCCTAGAATATGTAGGTTGTGATGACGAGGTTGACGGGAAATAGGAGCGATTGTCCGACATGTTTTGGAAACATCAGATGGGACTCATTGAGACCCGTCATTATATAGCAGGGCACTTCCATCCGACAACCGTGAAAAGCTTGCAGAGATCCTGAAAATGTCCGTCATCGGCTAGGTTGGTGGCTAGAGTTTGGCCACAAGGCACTGAGGCTCTCGCGGCCGCCCGATTGCCTATTCCCACTCGGCTCCGGTTACCCTGAATGAATCAGCAACAAGAGACCGGCAACTTGCAGCAGTAAACGGAGAGAAAGTTGTACTTCAAATAATCACATAAGGGGCGTTTTCGAGTGCACAGGCTGTCAACCATCAATACCCACAATCGCACGCCCTCGACATTGCGATGTGGGTTCAAGTTGATGTTGCCAATGGATACTGAACCCACGATCCGCGCTTCTCTCGTACGGATACAAGCACTATCAACTTGGTGTAAAAATGAAATCATCAGTGCGTGGCCCCCAGAAAAGCCGGCGACTTGCCGCTTCCCGTCCGTGAAAAATGGGTCCCAGGCCGCCGGCCGGCGACCGAGATCCGCGAAAGACAATGCACGTGATACCGCATCGTATGGAGACGCCAGCTGGCTGACTCAGAAACGCGCTTCGCGGGTAGGCGCGGTGCTGTCGAGCGCCTGCTACTCCACTTCAAAGCTGCCGCCTGGCGGATCACGGTGGTGCGTGGTGAACAACATTGACCGGCCACCAGCCAAATCCCCCCAGTTCACTTTGGACCTCGCGAACGACTGGACCTGGCCATCAAATGTCGCCCGTTATTACCGTCTGTCCGGCACCCTGACGCTGACTTCATGACGCGTAACAACCTCAACGACCACTTGCCCTGGTTGTTACACAACGCGTCCGCCTCAAAGTTCTCGATCCCCGCATACCCAAGCGCTGGCAACTCGACATTGTCACAAACGACGAGTACACATGCCGAACCACATGTCAATACCATCGAGACGCGTTCGCTGCCCAACTCGAACGTGGGACAGTCTAGCCGCCCCGACATCCGTGCTCCTGCTGAGCCCTCCCATGGACCTACTATAGCGGACAGCGACATAGAGGAGGACTTTGCCGAAATCACAGCAGACGATTGGAACATGGGTCGCTTGACATCGGCATCCAAATCCAAGAAACCCTCGCTGCTATCGAGGGTGGATCAGCTCCCACTCCTAGAGCAGCCGACTCCATCCAAAGATGGTCGGCTTGGAGGAGCCCCAGGTACGAGGGAACCGGTCCAGCAATGTCATGTTTCCGTATTAATCATTGAGAAGTGGCGACACCTCGTCGAGCTAAGCAACATGTCTCGCCAAAACGAGGGCCGGCGGCACCGCAATCATTGGAGCCCAAGTTGCCCTCCGACCTGACAGACCTCGATATTGACGACTGGGCCGAAGCGATGGATCTCACCGAGGAAAATAGTGCATCTTCAGATTCAGTGTTTGGCAACGACGTGACCATATGGAACGAGGATCATGCTGCGCGAGCCCAGCCTCTGTCCAGCGGCAAGAAGAGGAAGAGCAGCGATATCAGCAAAGCCACCGTCAAAGATGAGATTGAAGACGACGAGTTTCCCGACATTTACGCCTTACTCAACACACAGCCTCCCGCAACAACCCCTCGGAGGCCCAAAGTAGAGCGCAGAGGGCATTCTGCCATGACGGGAACTACGACGAAACGAAGAAAGAGCCCCAGTGAGAAACGCGACAAGTACGAGGCAGGAAGCTCATCACCGCTTCGACAAAAGCAAACCAGAATGGCCGAGGCCATTGTCAAGCAGAGTCCAATCAAGGCCAGTTCGAGTGCGCTTCCTGCTGCTCTCTCGACCATTAAAAGCGCTTCTCCGAGACGCGCCCCCCAGAACCCACGCCGGTCTCGTGTCCAAGAAGAAGAAACATTCGACGGGTTTGATGATGACCTCGTGATTCCGGATTCCGACGATGGGGACGAGGAATTTCAGACACCTCCTTCGCACAACGCCTCTGCTGTTCCTCAACACGATGTCAACGGATCTAGGGCGGGTGTCAGTACGAGCCAAGTGTCATTGCAGGCGCGTAAGTCAATGTCACAGGCACCACAGCCATCTCAACTAGACGGCGTGCCATGTCCGTCAGAACAAACGTCGACTACGTCGTCGGACAGAGCACCTCCCAACATGAGCTCATCAAGTTCAAAAGAACAACGCCAGTTGTTGTCGCGCCTTTGGAAGGGATCAGACGTTGTCGAGAATCTAAAGAGGAGTCTTGAGCGGCAATTGCGCCAGAATGGGGAGGACTTCAAGCAAGCGCTGCAAGAGCGTGCACCGAAGGAAAGACGGGCCGTGATCAAGTCTGCCAAAGAACGCCTACAAAAGCAACAGAAGGCTCTCGAAGAGCTGCCCGAGGTGCTGAAACAGTATCGTACGCTGTGTGATGAGCGGGAAGCGCTGGCAGAGAAGGTGTCGGTGGGCTATGCTGAGGGTCTCGATACGGAAGAAGACGAGGCATTGCTCGACGAAATCACCGATCGAGTGCAAGATGTAGAGGATTCGATGCTGAGAGACCTGGCAAACGCCGAACTCGAGGAGGAGGACTTTTTGGGTTCATCACCACCGGAACATGTGGCACCCGTGTCCAAGCATGTAGTTGTGCCCGACACCCAACCACTGAGCCACTTCAGCGTCGACATGTCGCAAGATGTCTCGCGGACCTCCCTCGTCCAGGAAATGGGCGCGGATATTGTTCAACAGACGCAAGCCCCTGTGGAGAGCAGGCTTTGGAACCAGCCGATACCAGCCTCGAGGATACATGGCAAGAGGGGTGTACTGTCACAGGATGACGATGACTTGATGCAGGCCCCCTTCCCACGGGCACACCAAATGCAGCGTCCGTCTGCTACCGTAGTTGATGAGCCCACCCCGATGGACCTCGATTTGGAGATGATGGATGACGACTTTGAGGATATGGAGCCGTTGGCTCGGTCGTCGCGAAAGCCGCCAGCGCCATCACGGTCCGCCATGGCAACTCAGCATCAGCGCCGGACAGGCGATGAGTTTAGCGACTTTAGCGACGATGAAGAGATGCTTGCTTTAGCACAAGGCATCGACGTCCCAGCTTCGACCAGAAGGCCGTTCAAGGAGACCTCTGGTAATGCCGGGGGCCCATCAAGTTCAAAGGCGGCATCAGGGAAGAAAAAGAACTGTCTCCCCGAAGCCTCCATCCCAGCCGAGCTCATGCGGCACCCGTGGTCTCCCGAGGTGCAGAAAAAGCTCAAGGATCGATTCCGGATGAGGGGCTTCCGCCAGAACCAGCTGGAGGCGATCAACGCAACCTTGGCCGGGGAGGACGCCTTTGTCCTCATGCCCACAGGTGGTGGCAAGTCCCTGTGCTATCAGTTGCCAGCCGTCGTCCGCTCAGGCAAAACGCGCGGCATGACGATTGTTGTATCGCCACTGCTCAGTCTGATGCAAGACCAAGTCGACCATATGAAAGCGCTAGGCATTCAAGCTGTGTCGTTCAATAGTGAGAGCTCCGCAGAGTACAAGCGAAAAGTCCTGAGCGCTTTCGAAGAGAGATGCCCCGAGAACTTTGTCGAGCTCCTCTATGTCACGCCAGAGATGGTGAGCAAGAGCACACAGTTCAGCAATGCGATGGATACGCTGTATCGCAAAGGAAAGTTCGCTCGACTGGTCATTGATGAAGCCCATTGTGTGAGCCAGTGGGGGCACGATTTCCGACCGGACTACAAAACGATCGGCCAAATTCGCAAGAGGTTTCCGAATGTCCCGGTGATGGCCTTGACGGCCACGGCCACGCAGAATGTCATTCTTGACATCAAGCACAATCTTGGAATGCCACGGTGCAAGGTCTTCTCGCAGAGCTTCAACCGACCGAACCTCTACTATGAGGTCCGGCCCAAGGGAACCAATGCCAACTGCCTCGAGAACATTGCGGAACGCATCAAGGAATCTTATTCTGGGATGAGCGGCATTGTGTACACCATCTCTCGAAAGCTGACCGAGGACGTCGCAGCCAAGTTGTCGGCGCATGGCATCAAGGCGAGTCACTACCACGCGAAGCTAGAACCGGCGGAGAAATGGTCTGTGCAGTCAGCATGGCAGAAAGGACAAATCAAGGTGGTTGTTGCCACCATCGCGTTCGGCATGGGGATTGACAAGCCGGACGTCCGGTTTGTCTTTCATCACGGCCTTCCGAAAAGCCTCGAGGGGTATTATCAGGAGACTGGGCGTGCGGGCCGAGATGGCAAACCTTCAGATTGCATCCTCTATTATGGCAAGGGAGATATAAGAACTCTCAAAAGAATGATCTTGGATGGAGATGGGGGGAGCCCGGAGCAGAAGGAGAGGCAGATGGCCATGTTGAACAGAGTTACGGCCTTCTGTGACGACAAGGCGACCTGCCGACGCACGGAGATCCTGCGCTACTTTGGCGAGGATTTTCACCGGGATGACTGCGGGAACAAGTGTGACAACTGCAAGGCCGCACTTGTTTTCGAGGAACAGGACTTTTCGGAATATGCGGTGGCCGCCCTCAACGTCGTGAAGCGGCAGAGACGGCTGACGCCGAGTCAGTGTGCTGACATCTTACTGGGCAAGAAATACCCAGACTCGGAGATGCACGAATCTGATGAATGGTACGGAGCGGCGACGGGGCTGAAGAAACATGAGGTCATCCGCATCATCGACAAGCTCTGTGCGGAGAAGGCGTTCCAAGAGCACAACCAGGTGAACAGGCACAGCATGGCCGTGGAATACTTGCAGCTGGGCCCTACTTTCAGAGACTTTCTGCAGGGCAACCGGAGGCTCATGCTGACGATCCAGGTCACTGAGGACAAGCAATCCAAGTCCAAGTCCAAGGCGAAGAAGCCGGCGTCTAAGAAGGCCAAGGGCAAAGACGCGGGGGCTGTGCAGTCCACGTACGTCTCGTCCCCAATTGTACGTGGGCGTGGCATCCGCGAGGACGATGAAGATGAAAATGGCGACCTGGACGGCTTCATCGACGACGACTGCGAGGACGATGCCTTTGACCCTGCGCCAGCCGCAAAGGCACCCAAGGCAAGCAAGGCGACGAGGGCTAAGCCGCCCAAAAAGACGTCGTCGGTGTCTGTCGACTCAAATATCGACGGCCTTGGTGCTCTCCATCAAGACCTCATCGCCAGCTTTGTTAGAGAGGCGCGAGACTTGGAGGAGCAGATCCGCAACAGACTTGGGCTTAGAAAACCGCTCTTCACGGAGCGCGACCTGCGCGAGATGGTGGCCCGGTGGACCGTGACATTGGACCAGATGAAACGAATCCCCGGCATCGACGCAGAAAAGGTGCAGCAGCATGGCGCCAAGATCCTGCCCCTTTTGAGGGAGCATCACGACCTGTTCAAAGCGAGCGAGCAGGCATCCGGGCACGGCGAGCCGTCGACCTCGACACGGAGCCATGGGGACATAGTAGACCTCATCAGCTCCGAGGCCGAGGAGGATTATTTCGAGGAAGAGCAAGAGGAGGGCGAGACGGCCGATTCGCCCTACTTTGCACAGCAAGCTCAGAACTGGCACAACGAACTCGCAGGCCTATCGGCACAAAGCGGCACCGGCCGAGGGGGTGGTGGTGGTGGTAGCAGCAGCAGCCGGCCGAGATCAACGTCCCGAGGAGGAGGGGCCGGCAAGAAGTACGGCAAGTCCAACAAGTGGGCTAATAAGCGATCGACCAGTGGGAGTGGGCCAGCCGCTGCCGGCGGCGGCAGTCGTCGTCGTGGAGGTGGAGGTGCCGGATCTCGGAAAGCTAGCGGCTCGTCGACCGCCTCTCGGGCAACATCGTCTGGACCGCAGCGAGATGGACGGATCGTGAAGCGGCCCGGAGGGGGCATAGGCCTGATGCCGCTGTGAAGGGCGAAGGGGATACGGACACACATGTCTGCTCACTTGCTTGCTACCACTCTTACGTATGAAGCTGCATCCTACCTGTGCCAAGGTAGCCGCGATATGATTCAATGAACTCAAATAGACTTTGCATAATATTCTACTGACGGGGGGTGAAATGAATCATGAATACGCCTGATATCTAATGCCAATGGGGGTATATGCGAGAAGGTCGAAGTAGATCTGGAGTCGCTTTTGAAAAAAAAAAAAAAAAAAAAGACTTGGGGCAAACGCGTGCGCATCTGATGATGCCCGGACGCAGCCCACAAAAGCCAAACAAAGAACGGAAACTGTCTGTATGTAGTAATACCATGGTCTGCGTCGCTCATCGTGTCTTGTTACCAGCTAGGGAGCCATGACGAGATCACCGCGCCAGCTCCCTGGCCAGCTCCTCTCGCACATGACGGCACCATTGGAGGATGGCGGCCTCAAACGTCTGCCACGCCTCGGGCCCGCTGTTGTTGACGACGCCCATGACGTCGACCCTGAGGTGTATCTCGAACCGCAGCTCCGCCGCCTTGACCCAGTACCGTAGGTTGTCGGCGCAGCGGTAGGGTTTCTGGGTGTCGGTGTGAAACGTGGGGATGGCGCCGAAGCGCCGCCTCGACTTGTGCACCGCCGCGTTGTGGAGCTTCACGAGACGCAGGCCGTTCTGGAAGGCCGCGAGAAAGGGCGTCGGCACCTGGGCGGCATCCGACACGGGCGTCCACGCGGGGAGCGACGCGGCCTCGGGGTCCATGGAGGAGAGAAAGGCCCTCTCGCGCTCGTACTCGCGGCCGGTCCAGTCACCGTCCAGCCACGTCCAGCTCGCGCGCTCCGCCTTCTCCGCCGCCTCAATCTCGGCCTCCTTTCGGAGAATGTCGTAGACACTCTCGATCCAGCCGTTGATGGTCTTGACCTCGTCGTCCTTCATGCCGCCCTTGAAGTGGCGGGTCGCCTGCTGCTTGAGGACCTCCATGACGACCAGCAGGTCGGCGCGCACCTGCTTCTCCGACTTGATCGCGTCGAGTCGGTCGGGCATCTCGTGGGCGGTGTAGTACATCTTGGCCGCGCGGATGGCGAGGGTGACGACATCGAGGATCTGCATGCCCTGCAGCTCGAACCAGCCCTGTGTGTTCTCGTCGGGCATGTTGGGCAGCCGGGGCGCGTCGGCGGGTTCGACGTAGGTGCCCTCCTTTCTATGTTGGACTTCCTTGATCGCCTTGGCCGCCTCTGCCAGTGTGGTGTCCAGCTCGGCCTTGAGCTCCACGATTGTGGGTGGCTTGGGGACGACCTTCTCCTTGTGGTTGTACGTGCTCACCGTCGGCGGCAGCATCCCCGACTCGGACTCGGCAAAGCTATCCGAAAAGGAATCGTCGTCCTCGTCGGTTGGCGACTCTGTCAATGACCGGTTACTGTACGGGTGCGCGCCCACGTCGGGGCTGCTGCTGTCGACAGAGCCATACGACGAGTCAGGGTCTGTACCCGGGCCTCCAAGCTCGCTCCCGGATGCTTCGAGGGCCGAGAGATCGAGCGTGGCAGGGTGCTTTGACTTTTTACGAGCCAACTGGCCCCCCTTGCCGTCCAGCAGTCCCGTGCGCGCAAAGTAGTATTGTAGGTGCGCGATGCTGCCCAGACTCATGACGCTCTCCCTCGACTTGGCACTGGCCGCAAAGTCGGTGGCCTGTGGGCGCATGTACCCCCTCCGTCGCTTCACATCGTGGCCGTGGGAGTTTTGGCGCGGTGGCGGTCGAGAGCCGTTGCGCGGGGTAGCGAGATCACTGTGCATGGACGAGTCGCGCGACGTCGCATCCGCGGCGCTGGAGGTGTTGGAGAGAGAGGAGGTTGTGGACGAGTAGCGAGAGAGGTCCGAGACGGCGCCGATGGCTGGTGTAGGGAGGGTATCGGGCGAGGGCGAGCCGCTTCGTGTCGAGGAAAGGGATGTGCGGTTGTTTGTGGCGGCCATGGGATCGTGCGTCGGGTAAGGGGGGGTTGACCCTCGTATGATAGAGATGACGGAGGCAGGATGTGCCTGTGTCGTCGAGGGTTCCGCGCGCAGGGGAATAATTATATCGAATGGGCTCGACGAGGACGGGTGGTGGTTCGAGCAGATGGGTGAACGTTGATTACAAAGTAGGCCGGCCAAGGAACGGAAGAGGTGAGAAGCCAGGAATTAGACAAGCAGTAGGCGAGCTCGCTGAATGAGAGACAGGAAGAAGAGGAAGGGCTGGCGAGTGGTGACGAGGTGAGTGAGGCTCAAGGTGACGGACGGATTGTTGCTATGAGGTTGCCTGTCTTGAATTCCATCGGGGACTGGAGGGCTTGACGGGTATTTAGAACCTCCTGCAGGGGTCGGTCGGAGCAGCCACGGACTCAGTGGCTCGACGCCCCACACTTTGCAAACACGCCACGCTCGACACCGAGGCAACGGTTAGTCATGTCATTGGATTTTACGGATACCTTACTCTAAATACTTTGCTGTCGATGTGTCATGTTTCACTTTCGTCTTTTGGCCTGCGCGAGCGTGCATACGTAGCTGTTGAGTCTTGCATGGGACGTGGACGAAGCCACGTGCAGTCTGCTGCCTCTTTGGCTGGGGGGGGGGGGGGGGTCCATGCTCGCCGATCGAGTTGAGCCTATCGGGCACAAGGAATGCAAGTGGCAGTGTGATGTGTGAAGCGTAAGTACTTGGTCAATGGGGACGACTGGAGACCATAGCTGGTAATTACATGCGTGGATCCCTTTCAACATGAATCTGGTCTCACTCAGGCTTCAAGCTTCTCCCAGCAACCATTGTGCACGCCAATTAGACAGTTTATGCCGTGTATCTAACCCCCTCTGGTGAGTTACATTAGACCGTGAATTGAGGCTTCGATTCCAACTCCAGCCTTTCTCACATTGAACTCGCTCCGAGAGACAGATTTGGACACGAAGAACGAGAAGATGTTCTTGATGCTTCATGTGATCCATCCCCAGATTGTGACTGACAGCTACCCGCGGGCTAGTCCGCAAGAGGAAAGGCGCCGTTTCCCTGACAGTCACTTCCCGACAGACGCGTCAGGACAGGACAGGACTCGACTCTGCTCTGCTCTCTTCATGTTCTCTTCAAACACCAGCCCCCACACCAGTCCTCTGTTCATCGCATTCCTCATCTTTCGAAGAGAATATCCTGGTCTGACCTGAAGAGCCTTATCTCACGACACACTCAGATCGGGATCATCCACATCAAGCCCCTGGTCCTTCTTGAAATGCCGTAGCCATTCGGCATTGTCCGCAGGCGTCTGGTTCCACGGGTCATCGCTAAGGCCGTCAAGTCAGTAAAAGAGCCCCCGAGGCAGGCAAGGAGGATACGTACTCGTCAAACATGATCCAGCGCGCGTGGTGCTGCAGCTCCTCATCCGTCGGCACGTGTCGGTTCGGGTTGTAAGGTGACATGGCACTCCGCGTGTACCGCACCAGCTCCTTCATCAGCCGGCGGTAGCAGCTATCGTCGCCCAGCCGGTGTTCTCGCAAGCCCCCCGCCGCCCCGTGCGGGCTCTGGAAGTTGGGGCTGTAGGATGAGACGTCGTCGGTCATGGTCAAGGAGCCCAGACTCGCTTCTGGACCACCTAGTGTCGCTTCCATCACGCTCTCGTCGTGCCAGCCGCTCCCAGCGCCATGCAGCTCCGATGGGCACGCGTCGTCGATGGGCAAACCCGCTCGTTCGCGAAACTTGGTGAACCACGTGCCGCTGGCGGTGTAGATCAACTCGATCAGGAAATCCTGCGTCGACTTGGACGGCCTCTTGGCCGTCGCCGTCATGTCGGCCACAACCTGGCACGCCAGGACACGGATATCTTGGTTCGTGACGGCCAGTCCCACCGCGTGCGACGCCTGCACCCGCTGCTGCAGCTCGCCCTCGAGCGCGCAGGACTCAAACAGCGTCGCCCTGCCAATGATGCGCAGCGGTGTGATGCTCACCTTGGCCGCGTCCCGGAGGGGCCGGAGGCGAGCCTCGCGCGCAATGGACTCGTCGCACATGATCAGGTCGCGCAGCCACGACGCCGACGTGCCCACGTCTCCTCCGTCGCCGCGCGTCTGCCTGTTGTGCGCCGCCGTGAGCTGCTCGGCGCCCATGACACGGCTGCAGCATTCGTACTGCATCTCGGGCAGCGTGGGACGTCGCTGGTGGGCCGCCATGTACTCGTTCGAGTAGTACTCCATCTCGGCGCTGATCAGCTCAAAAGCACTGGATGGTGTGTCCGGAGGCCCTTGGTAGCCCGTAAAGGGCCACGGGGAGTACCGCTCATAGTGAATCAGATCTGCATCTTTTCGTTAGCCTGCGAAAGCTCTGGCATAAAAATATCTATTCCAAGCGGGACATGGAAACGTACATGGAGGGATCGCACTCTCGATCTTGTCGGCAACATGCGGCTCAAACCCCCAGCCTCCCTCCCAGTCCGCCATGGATTTGCCCGTCTTAAAGTGCTCAGCAATGTGATCCACGCGCTCGTCCCACGACTCCATGGCGAGGTTGCAGAAGCCGCAACGGGACCGGATCAGCTGGTTCTGCCGCTTCCACGTCTCCATGGGCGTCCTCTGAAAGGCAGCTCCGTGGACCAGCGTCAGGTGCTGCTGCAGGTGATCTTTGCGGTAGAATATGCGCTCCTCGGGCGCGCGCCTCTCACATTCCCCGTAGTCATGCCCAGAAATATGCGCCGCGTCGGGGTCGGCCAGTCCGCAGTACACACATGTCGCCTTGTTGCTGTCCGCGTCGACAAAGGTCGGTCCATCCGGCGAGCACTCCCATCCCTCGAGAGAAATATGCAGCGACTTTTCGTGTCTCTGCCAGTTGTGTTTCGTCGCAAAGGTCTCTGCGCAAAAGGTACACTGATACGTCCGCGTCGCGATCAGGAGGCCGGTCCGTTTGTCGGCCTGTCTCCTCGCCGCGACCTTGCGCTTTCGGCGCCGGGGCTTCTGTGTGGCGAGCACGTCGATGGACTTGCGCGACGTCTGCGAGGCGTACGAGTACGCCGAACCCACCGAGCTGCCCGTGCTCGAGTTGGAGCGACGAGCGGATGTGGCTGACGAGGCATCGTCAGACGTCGCCCGGTCCATGTAGCCAGTATCCGCCCTTTTCGCACCATTTCCATCGCGGTGGTGGGACGCCGACACGGCAGCTAGGATATCCGCAGCTGCCGAGGGTTCGTACTCTGGTGGCGAGCTCTGCCATCGTTGCATGGGGTCCATGTCCCAGAACGGCGATGCACTAGGCTCTCCCGGTATGCTGCGTCCCGTATCCTGCCCAGGAGGCTGCCTCTGAGATTTCACACTCACCAGACTAGGAGACGTAGGTCTCGGGACGTGCCGGGCTCGCGTACGTCGTCGAACGTTGGCGTACCAATTCGTGATCTGCTGCTTTTCCAGACCAGTCTGGGCCTCCAGACGACTAATGTCCTTGGAGGACGGGTACGGATGGTCCTCATGGTCACGCAGCCAGGCCTTGAGGATCTTGAGCGATGCCGTCGAGAAGCGCGTTCCCACCTTGGGAGGCGTCGGGGCGTGCGCATGGCCAACATGAACCCTGGTCTGGCCGCGCACGTCGTGCTCGGGCTCACAGGTATTGCCATTGGTCTCGACTCCTGCGTCAACGTCCAAGCTGGCCAGCAGCTGTGACCAATCTTGGTCCGATGGAAGGTCAATGCCGAAGCTCATGGTCGCAGGCGATGCTGGCGCGGATGCGGCCGAGGTCAAACTTGGTGAACACCCTGCTGAGCAGTGCACAGGGTCTCAGGCGGGCTGGAGTGATTGAGTGACGTGACAATGCATGTTGGCATTTGCTTCAGCTTTTAGTTAGCTAGCCTGGCATCATCGTAGGAAAAGCACATGAAGAGCTGTGAGTAATAAAGTATCCATCCATGTCAATTGCTCCCTTGACAGAACCGCAAAGAGCGGAGACGCCGGTTATCGGGAGGGACCTTTTGTCAGTCAGTCAGCTATGTGGGCTTCACTCTCCCGCCGCGTAATCGAAGACAATTCCATCACGAACTCTTCAAATAGCAATATAACGATTCTTTTATTGCCGCAGCGATCAAGGACGACCGAAAACGGCTCTTGCATGTGGCTTTAGGTTCTTTGCGTGGATTCCCCGCCTGCTTTAGCGCAAACCTTTCCCCCAGCACCCGCCAAAGCATTACGCCCGTCCCAGGATTTCCAATTGTGCCCATGAATAGATTGATAACAAGCATTGCGCACGCAAGCGACACGAAGTGAGGATCGTTCAGAACTCGGAGAACAGGTGGCCGTATCTGAGCTCGTTAGCAAGTGGGCTTCCAGGACAACGTTCCCTGATCAGACTTACTCATCACTGCCAGTCAACTGGCCGTACTTCTCATGCTCCTCTGGGTACTTGTCGAATTGACTCGCGTCGCCGGCGCCAGCCTTGACGGGCGGCGTGTACGGCGCATCAATGTCCTTGCGCGCCAAGCGGTCCCAGGTGACTTCGTGGAACCAAGGGTGGTTCTTCACGTCGTTGGATCCCCCATAAAGATTCCCCAGCCTCTTGGAGAGGTCCGCGGTGATGAGTTTCTGGAGAAGGTCTTGCGCCTCGGGTGCTATGTACGCGGGATACTTCACCTTGCCTTTGAGAATGTTCTCGTAGATGCGCATGGGCGATCCGCTGTCCCAGAAGGGCGTGTAGCCGCACAGCATCTCGTATATTAGGATACCAAGCGACCACCAGTCCACTGACTTGTTGTAGCCCTTGTTCGACACGACCTCTGGTGCCAAGTAGTCAGGCGTGCCGCAGAGCGTCCATGTCTTGTCGGGCACCCGCTTGGCGAAGCCAAAGTCGGTGATCTTAAGATGCCCATGCCGGTCAAGGAGCAAGTTCTCGGGCTTCAAGTCGCGGTATATGATATGTTTGGCATGCATGTACTCCAGCGCCAGGGTGACCTCGGCCGCGTAGAACTTGGCGACGGGATTGGGGAAACGCTATGGACACATGCTCAGTCAGCTGGACAAGACACGCATCGGCGCGTGCGTTCGCACGGGCCTGGCTATTTTACTCACGCCTGATTTCCGCAACAGGGAAAAGAGCTCACCGCCCTCCACAAAATCCATCACCATGTACAGGTTCTTGACATCCGTAAAGGTGCCCCACAGCGTGACCAGGAACGGATGCTTGACATCGCTCAGCATGCGGCGCTCGTCGTTGGTGTGCTCGACCTGCTTCATCTTGACCACCTGCGCCTTTTTCAGCACCTTGATTGCGTAGAAGCGCTGGTTGTGCTTGGACTGGACGAGGTGGACCCGGCCAAAGCTGCCCGTGCCGAGCGTCCTCAGCATGTCAAAGTCATTGAGTGTGTATTTGCCCTTTGTGATGCGGGGCGTCGAGCTGGTGCTGCCTTGGTGCTGGTGTCCAGACACGGACTGGGCCGCGTGCTGCTGCTGCGGTTGGTGGTGCTGTTGCTGTTGCGGCACCGCCTGTGTTTGCTGCGACTGTTCATTCTGCTGTACCTGCTGCGCCGGCTGCGATTGTTGCTCGGGTTGGTCGGTCGGCATGGCGTCGGGGTCGCGGCTGGCGTCGGTGGGCTGCTCGCCCTGCTGCTGCTGCTGCTGCGCCGGCGGCTGTTGCTGCGACTGTGGTGGGTTGCGTGGTGGAGGGAGCGCAGCCTGCTGCTGCTTCTGTAGGGCGGCGGGATCCGTGCCGGGACTGGCGCTGACGGTCGGGACGAGGGTTGGGCCCAAGTTCAATGCGCTCTTGCTGAAGGGTGAGGAGTGCTGCTGATTGGGAGTAGGGGCCCCTTCATCCTGGGGCGCATTGACTAGGTTATTGATGCTGGGGCTGTTCTGCTGCTGGTTCTGGCGGGAGTCGTAGGGTGGAGGAGGAGGGGCAGCGCCAGGCGAGATGTTGGATGGTGAGGGTTGAGGCTGTTCAGAGTTCAAAAAGGCGCCGTCGTTGGCGCGGCGGTTGTCGACGTGGGGTTGGGCGCCTGCCGTCACCGTCGCGCCTTCCCCGCCATGCTGCTGCTGCTGCCCTTGACCTGCTGGACCGAAACCTTGAGCCGCGCCAGCGTTCCCGGTGCCTCCAGCTTGTGGCTTCTGCTGCTGCTGCTGAGTCTGCTGCTGAGTCTGCTGCTGAGTCTGCTTCGCTGCGGTCGGGCTGGTCGGGCCATTCGAGTGCTCGTGATGGCCGTCCTTGCTGCGGATCTTCTTCAAGAAATTGAGCCCGGGCATTGTCACGGACGGCCTCAATGCTGCGTCAATGGCCGGATGCGACGCAATCTCGTGCAGTGTACTTTGGATGGTTTGCAGACGGACGCAATCGCAAGTTCCGCGCTGGCGCAGTCCAGATCGACAGCTCGATTGCGTTGAGGAGGCGGACACAAACAGGCCTTGTGCGCGGACGTACGTAAGAAATTAAGGTAGGCAAGCAAGTACTAATAAGTTGGTTGTGAGAGACGCAATCGATCGGGAATTGCCAGCGTCGAGTAAACGGATCAGCAAGGCAAGAGAAACTAGTCACGAGTTACATGCAAGCAGTGAGGAGCAAGGACCCGACGGGAAACCCTCGAGTGTTCGAGCTCTGGGGGCTGAAATGGACCCGGGCCAAGGTAAACTAGGCGGGCAATTGAAGCGCAGATACGTCAGTGATCATGGAGGATGGAGGGGAACGGGAGGATTGGACCTGAAGGATGCTCTCGGTCTCTGTTGGTCTTGGGGAGCGCTAGCCTGGCCAGCAGCAGACTGGAGCTGACTGGAACTCCTCCTGTGAACCTTACTTACCTGGTATTGGTGATTGCATAACAGAGCCCGCAACTAACAGCTGTGAAAGCCCCGCGAGCTGTCACTCTAGTCTCTGGATGAGGCTGATTCACAGTCGGGCTTGTCGTGCCTAGCTGAGTGGGCTAGTCCAGTTATGGCGCCTTCTCAAGGGAGCATCTACCCCGGATCGTGAAGGGACAAGCAGCATTTCATCAGGGCATTGGTAGGTTCTCTCCATGATAGAGCAGACATGGGATTATTTCCGTTGCCTCGTTATTGATTGCGAAACATTCCCGGCTGCATGAATCTTAGCTGTACATAGACTGTCGGTTGAGAGTGAAGGTCTGCTTGCTAAATCATTGTGCCCCTATGTCATACACTACAATTGCCGAGTAGCAAACCCCAGACACAACCTCTCACAGCCGTAAGCCACGCTACCCAAACCCATGCATCCCAGGCAAACTTTCCCATATGCCGCCGTGCACCCTAGATCCATCCGTTGACGCCACTATACCATGACCTAGAAACGGTGCGACTTGCTCCTCGAACGATATGCCACCCATCCAGCGTACGCACCGCCGACAGCCATGCCGAACAGGACAATCTTGGCCAAGAACCACATCCAGCCCCCACCGCCCTGCTTGGCGCGCGATGTTGACTTGTTCTTGTTGCCGGGCGTCGACTTGCTGCTGCCACCCACAATCGGGCTGTTGTAGAGGTTCTTGGCGCGCACAGAGATGATGTCGTGGTTGTCGCTGAGCTCGCCCGTCTCGGCGCTGAAACCCAGGTACGCAATGTTGGGGATGGCAGGGGGCGAGTCCGCGTCGAAGCACAGCTGCCAGTCGTTCTCGTTCTTGTACTGGAGCTCCAGCTTGAGCTGCTTGTCCTGGAAGTAGGTCAGGCGCAGCTTCGTGGGCTGGTTGGCGTTGCGGATGCCGCGCGCCGAGCAGCCCGCAAACTCGGACGCCTTGCCATCGTTGTTCTTGTCGTAGCTGGTCTGCCCATCGCCAAACATGGCCATCACATAGGGGAAGACGACGCCGGGGCGGTTGTTCTTGTACGTGTCGACAAACACACCGAGACCCTCAAAGTTGTCCGTATGGCCAAACACGTTACCCTGCACGCCGCGCTGGCGGGTCACCCACATGGCGAAGCCATCGCCGTACAATTGGTTGCGGCCCGAGACCTTGAACTCGACCTCGACCTCCCAGTTGGTCGCCGTCAATGGGACGCGGGAAAACAGCCAGCCGGATTGCGAAGGACGGTCGGATGTGAGGCGGACATGACTACCCAGGCGTTAGCAGACGCGTCTAGACTCCATTGGCAGAGATATCCCATACGAGTCTGTGCGGATCACTGTATCCCCTCCAAAGTCGAACCAGCGACTCGCCATGTCAGAATCAAGGTAGGGCTATCACGGTCAGCGTCGTCGGGTCGAGTCGCGTGCCGTCCGTATCAACTGACCTGAACCAAGGTGTGTGTGCGCAACTACTGCGTCGTCAGTACTGTTTGAAGCTCTCATACCGCTAAAGCACCCACCGAGACGCTCTTGATGTTCTCGTTACCATCGCTCTGAGCATTTGTCGTCCAGGCGAGCGCCGCGACGAGCGCGGCGGGAAGCGAAGACCAACGCATGGATGCGACTCGTTACGTGCGCAGCACGCTGAATTTGAAGCGGTGAACGGTATCGGGGCCGAAGCAAAGTCCCTGCCCTACAATCAATCAAGGGCGATCTGGGAAATTCGAATCGTGGAGGGGCCGCTGTCGGGTTCTTGCGTGGGCAGGGAGGTCGATCTCAAGTCCCAGAGTCACAAGCTAGAGCCTAGCTGTCCTCTTTCCGCTGCCGCCATGGGGGGCCACACGAGGTGCGCCACAATCTGGGGTCCAGTCCCCCTTGGACGGTCTCTCTAACCCCCTGTCTGCGCCACACGCACCAGCCACAGTCGATGCAAGACTTGTTCGCGAGCCTCGAAGAGATTCCGAAGCGTCAACGAGTCCGCAACGTCGCTCCAACCTTTCAACCTCCAATAATACCACAACATCTCGTCATCATGGACTCCGCCTCGGTCAAACAAGCTGTCATGCAGCAGGTCAGCAGTGAGGCCAACATGGCCAACGTGCGCCTTCTCATTGAGGTAGGCTCGCCGACGACAGCTCGCAAACTTGCCCAACAGACCGACTGACCTGCGACACAGAAATTGCAGGAAAACTGCTTCCAGAAGTGCGTCCCCAAGCCTGGCGGCTCTCTCTCCAGCAGCGAGCAGTCATGCGCCACCTCATGCATGGAAAAGTACATGGCCGCCTGGAACAAGGTCAACTCCTCCTACATCGACCGCCTACGTCAAGAGCAGGGCGTGCAGATGTAGATACGACACACGGATTGTACGAACGATGCGAAGGACTGTATAACACTTACTGTAACGAAGCAACGACCGGCCGCGTCCGATCGGACTGTTGTACACATACAAATTTATAGACAAGCGCAGCTCCAAAACAAGGCGCGTCGCAAACAGCTAATCGAGATGGAAATTATCTTGGTGTCATTCATTCATTGGGTATCATGTCTATGCAGTGCTATCCCCTGACTTCTTGGCCTCTTCGGCTGCGCGCTTTCTGGCGAGGTACCTCTCCTTCGCGCTGGAGATCTCGCCCTCGGTCTTGCGACTCTTCGCTGCCCTCTCGACTTCTTCCTGTTGCGCCTCGGCTTCTGCTCGGGAGCGCTTCATCGACGCTTCCAGTTGTTCAGCCAGCATCCGTGACTGCCGCTCTCGCCTCGCCTGTCGGTTGCCTATCTGGTGCTCTGTCATGGCTGGCCGTTGCCTCTCTGCTGGGAGATCCTCCTTGGACGGTGCTGATGTCTTCTTGGCGCCCAAGTTCAGGCCTCCCTTGAGCAGCTGTCGCTTGTCGACCACCTGGCCATCCTCGTTCACGGCGATATCAGTGCCCTTCTCCTTGAGCGCCTCCAGGCGCTTAGCTTCTTCTCGGGCGTCCTCCGTTTCCTCATCGTCCTGGACCGTTGCTGCGCCATCCTTGCCCATTTCTTCTGCGGCTTTGACTGCTTCCGAGTGCCTTTCCTCAGTCTTGTTCAGGAGATTCTTGTAGAAGCCTGACATTCCGCCGGCCTGGTTCTTCTTGGCCTCCTCCTCTTCCTTCCGTTTCTCCTCCTCCTGCAACTTCTTGTTCTCCTCTTGCTGGCGCTTGTATGCCTCCGTCACAAATTTCTCCTTGTCGGCATATTCGTCGCCTTCTTCTTCTCGTTCGCGTGCAATCTTCTTCTCCTCCGCGATCAGCTGATCTCTCTTGCGCACGTCGGCCGCCTCCATGAGCCCGCGCATGTACTTTGGTTTCCTTTCCTTGTCTTCTTTGGTGGTGTGCTTCTTCGGTTTGAGAGATTCGTAGACTTTGTCGTATTCGTAGACGCTGGAGTCGAGGTCGGCTGCTGCTTCGGCATTCTTGCGCGATGTCAGACTGCTCGATAGATCGCCGAACATTGTGCTGGGTTGTTGAGTCTTTGACTTGAGTTTCGGCGGTTGCGACGGTGGTCCGTTTTTGGCCTTGGCCGATTTGCGCGCATCTTGAGGGACATCTTCGCGACTGGTGGTCACAAAGTCGTCAAGATCTCCGTCTATAGCTTGTGTTGTGACGCCGCCCGCAGATTGTACTTCATTGTCCGAATCATCGTCGCCGCCAAACATGGGTTTTCGCTTGGGGGGCGCGGCTTTTGAGGTAGTCTTTTTCGCGGCGTTGAAGCCGAATGCTAGGGGTTTACTCATAGCAGCGATGCGGAGTGTTGAGAATTGCACAATAGAGATTATTAGTTGGTTGTGGTGTAAGGTTTTTTTGGGCAGCATGTAATTGAGTTTACGGCGTGAAGTAGATTCGGTTCGGCGATGGACAACGCCGCGCATCCCGCCACGCGTTGGCGCGTGCTGCTTGAGCCTCGACATGTACGAATTCAGTCGTTGTGTGTGACATGATCAGCAAATCCTGAGACGATATATCTGGATACTCTTGCTTTTATACTTGCATTTCTAGGTTTCCCCGTCGCTTCCGCTTCCATTGTTTTCTACCGAGTTGGAAGACCAGCCAGAAAATGAGAACCTACAGCCTTGTTCCATGGTGGTGGGTTGAGTCATGAGCCCTCTCCCAAGGAGCATCGTCCACGGGCAACAGTACTACTCCCGGATTTTCTCTACGCTACCTGTTCTTCGGGTTCTTGTGCAGCGATCTCGCCTCCCGGCAAACCTAACCCAGTGTCAGCATTCGACAACCGCGGCAGGCGGAGCATGCGCACGAGGGTGGTGATGATGTTGTCAGTGGTCTCGTCAGGGAGCTCGCCACGATTCCGCCAAGGATATCATCACTAAAATGTGGGTGAAGAAGAAGCCGTGAGCCGTCGATTGTGAAGACTGCATCGATGACTGGGCTTAGTTGGACGGATGGATCAATTGAAGTCAGTCATCTAGTCGACGAACAGTCTGTCCCGTTCAGACCGGCACAACCCAGGGTAATTCAATTGGGCTCTTGGGGACGAAAGATGCAGACAATATATGCACACTCCCTGGAACATTGGCAGCAATCACAACAGCCCTTCGTCCGCTGGTGTTGTAAGGACTCGAGTGCAGCTGAATGCTCGGGCGGTTCGCTCTGCAACTGTCAGCCCCACGATCTCAGGTGGCGCGTGGCATCTATCAGCGCACAATTCTGACAACCATCTTGACACGCAAAAAGGTTATCTCAATCCGCAATCAGAGAATAAAGCAAATGTTCAAGATACCCAAAAAGAATGGTCCGTAGCGGGGTCGAACCGCTGACCTTCGCATTACTCAACACATTGATCATGTATTAGTACGACGCTCTAACCAACTGAGCTAACAGACCAGTTGTT